TATAGACTTTTCTTTGCCTTTTTCTGTGCTTTTGTTTTTTGTTTTTCGCTTACTCATGTTTCGCTATTTGTGTCATATGGTTTTTGTCACATGGTTACTGTCTCCTCTATATATTTTCGCGCTCTGCATAATAAACTCAGTTGGAAGTTAGCGCTCGTGTCCTTCTTGTCTCTGTGTCGTCGTTTTGTTCTCGCGCTATAACTATCGTCGTGTAAGAAGAAACCCTTTATTTACAAGCACGCATACTGCAGTGAACAGTAACAAAGTGTAGCTCACATACAGAGCAGCTTTCGTTCAGGGTACCATCCTTTCGATGTAAATTCTGTTTCCGAACCTTCCTCTGTGCTTCGTCTTTGGGTGCAGCGTAAAGCGACGGCTGCTCACCTTTTTTCCAAACGTATACCCTGTTTCGCACCTAGGTGCAAGGCAGTGTCGTTGCCGCCGATGACTCGGCATCGCCTCACTGTCGCGTGGCCAGCAAAAACATTGCCAGAAAAACTTTCGTTGTGCAGGCGTGAACACAAGCAACGAGTCACAGAACAGCATTCAAGAAGGCAGAGCCACAGAACACCTACCAGGCAGAGCGGCGTGGAGCTGACAATCCTGCCAGCCCATGCTACGGCAGCGCCGCCTTGAGAACCGGTTTTTTGTCCACGTGCGCCGCTTCACGCTATGCATAGCGAAAGAGGGTGCCTGAACACACTACCCCATATTCTAGTACACTGTAACGGCGCACCTATACAACTTTGGGATTGGATTGCGGCCTCTGAGATTCAAAACTTCGTCCATGGGTAGTACACATCTCGGAGGCAAAAAAAAAAAAAAAAAAAAACAAAAAAACACATTGTGGATTAAACAACCCAAATGGAAGGCAGTGCATCGCTACTGTCATCAGCAACGGGCATAGATTTGCCTTTTCTTTTTTCTTGCGCGTCGAACACGTTTGCGTGACGGTTGAGTTGGATTGCTCACCTCTAGTGTGCTTTAAATTATTTATCTTTACGTGATCTCTGCCTTCTACAGTCTTACTATTTGCTGTCTTTTGAAAAGTTCATCAGTTTTTATTTTATTTTGATCACTGTGCATTTTTTTGTGTGTTTGTGTTTGTGCTGTCTACTTTGTGCATGCGCGCGTGACCACCGCCCGAGCGATGCTGGGATTGCTTCCCTTCTGTCTCCTGTGGCCCCAACCGCCCCAACTTCCGCAGCGAAGAGAAGGCGAAGTACGAAGCAAAGAATTTCGCTGCGAAGGTGAAAATATTGAAGCCGTTGCAAGCAGGAGCATCTCAAAAAGAAGTGATAAAAAAATTCAGTGTGAAGAAAAGCACGCTGAGCACTTACGTAAAGAACGAAGAGCAGATTATGCAAGCGTATGACGGGGACATGTTTGGCAAACAAAGGAAGAGGCTTCGAACGTCAGTGCATCCCAAGCTAGAAGATGCGCTGTTGCGCTGGATTGCCATTTCGCGCGATGCGCGTTTGCCCTTGAGTGGCCCCCTTATCTGCGCACAAGCAGAGAAGTTCGTGGTGACCATGAACATTGACTCCTTCAATGCATCAGAAGGCTGGGCTGGTGTTCTGCAACGTGTGTGGTGAAAGAGGTGCGGTTGACGAAAGTGTTGTGCAGGGCTGGCGGTCTGGACTATCCGTGTGCCTTTCCACGTACAAGCCGTGCAACATTTTCAACGCTGATGAGACAGCGCTGTTCTATAATGCTCTGCCTGACAAGGCAATCGCATTTAAGAGGGACCCGTGCATCAGTGGAAAACGAAGTAAAGAGCGGGTGATAGTTCTTCTGGCTGCTAACATGACCGGCACAGAGCGGCTGCCACTGCTGGTGATCGGGAAAGCTGCGTAGCCAAGGTAGGAAGAGCTTTTATAGTGTTTTTATAGTGTCTATCAATGTCTATTTTTTGACATTGGTGCCTTAATTCCTATAAGTGCCCATAAATGCCTGCTTTCCAAATCGGTGCCTATATAAACTTCATTAAACCTCAAATTTTCATTTCAAGTATGGCTTGAGTACGGTGTTCATGTTAACCGCGAAATTGAGCTTTCATAACACTGTGGCGTGCAACCTACTTTCAGCACTGTCAAGCCTACAAGGCTTTTTAGTCAATAGAAAGGTTGATTTGCCTCTACACATGTATTTATCTGCGTCGCGTCGTCTTCTCGGCATCTCTCCGGCGCTTGCTTGCTAGTGTAGGGAGCAGGAGGTGCTTCTGTGCAGTGGCAGGATGATGAAGAACGAATGCGAAACCATGGAGTGTCATCAGGGGAAAGTAAAGTGCAGATAAAAAAAACAATATTCATGTTGTTTTTGTTTTATTTGTCATTTACTTCTTGAATGGCACTTCACTAGGTCACATAAAAAATTTTATTTATACAAAGGAACTTGTTGAGTGCCCAATAAAAAGCTTTGTATCAGTAGAATTTTTAACTGGCTCATTACAAGCTGCAAAAGCATGATGTGAGGAGGTGAGCTTAAAACCTTCTCCATTCACTCAATGTAGACTTCGCCTGCCCAATTCCTACCCTGCCCTTTTTGGTATCGGAGCAACTTGGAGCTGGAGGATCACACGACGCGGACGCATCGGCATGTCATTCGCACGTAAGGTACATGTCAGGCCATGCATGCAAGCGCTGTTCTGTCGTTTTGATGTTCTCTGTATTGTACTGCCTGTTTCTGTAGGATGGATCTCTCTATGCGCACACGTTTGAAAAGGCTGCCATGGATGACGTATCTATACCACAATACACAGCATCGCACCGCTGCAACTCTTCTAAGGGACGATGCACCAAAAACACGCCAAGCATTCTGAATGCTGGCACTGGCACAATGCGATAATGGCGAGAACACCAACGCAAACGAAATAGAGGCAGCTTGGTTTCACATTATCGCTATATACGAAGTTAAAAAAAAAAAAACATGCATAGCTTCCGTCTGTTTCTTTTACTATTTCTGTTAACCTTCTATTCAGGCAACAGATTGCACAAATTTACATACATCTCGGATAGTTCTCGCATTGTCAGCAGGTACTACTTTGACGTACACAAGACCATTTCATCACATACACCATGTTGGAGTGCACCCTTATGAGATGAAGGTCAAGCAGCGTTCAGTCTAACATTTCACCTACTTATGGTGCACATACCGTAATTACTCGAATCTAACACGCACCTTTTTTCCGGTTAAGCGAGTTCATAAATCGCATGCGCGTTAGAATCGAGTACGAACAAAAAATTTACGGTCAATCTATTGCCACCGGCAAATCCAAAATGGCCGCCCCCTACGTGCGTCGGCATGGCGCGTCGGCCATTTCTGCCTATGTGTTTCACATGTGCGGCACTTCGTACGTGTGCTGAGGAGTTCGTCATCTAGTAGTGCATTAGCATCGACGGCGTGGAAGAGCCAACTCCAAAAACTCGAATGGACCACGATGCCGCTTTTAAAAGAAAAGTCATCGCGTGTGCAGAAACGGACGGAAATCGGGCCTCATTGCGGTTGTTCGGAGTTCCCGAAACGTGCGTGCGTGACCGGCGGAAACAAAAGCAGAAGATTGTCGACAGCAAAGCTTCACGCAAAGGCTTCAGTGGACCACAGCAGGGACGCTTTCCGCAAATTAAAGAGCTGCTCGGCAAATATGTGCTTGAGCAGCGATTGGCACGGCGGCCCATGACGACAGAACTGCTCCAAGTGCGGGCTATGCAATTAGCCTTAGAAAAAGGTCTAATGCGGAGCCAGTTTAAAGCGAGCAGGTGCTGGCTAACTAACTTTATGAAGAGGTAAGGCTTTTCCCTCCGAAGGAGAACATGCATATGCGCAAAGTTTTGCGGAGGAGTACGATGAAAAGCTTTACTGTTTTCAGAGGTTCGTCCTAAACTTGCGGCGCAACAACGGCTACCTGCTTGGGCAAATCGGGAATGCCGATCAGACGCCTCTTTACTTCGACATGCCTGGCACCACAACCGTCGAGAAGAAGGGGTCGAAGCAAGTTCGCGTGCTGACATCGGTCCACGGTAAAACTACAGTGACGGCAATGCTGTGTTACATGTCAGATGGGCACAAGCTTCGCCCGTACCTCATATTTAAATGGAAAACGCTCCCGAAAGGAGTCGTTTTTTCGAGTGGTGTGATCGTGCGGGCCAGCGAGAAAAATGGGTGCGCGTTGCAATCGATGTCTTACGTTTTTTTTTTTTTTTCCGCGGTGGAAATCGGGTGCGCGTTACAATCGAGGGCGCGATAGAATTGAGTAAATACGGTAGCACTGCAAATCTCGGAAGATGAGATCATCAGCGCACAGTGCATGTATTCCTTTTTGCTTCTCAAAATTCTCAAACCTGCGTAAAGGCCCTTCAAGGTATTTACACACAGAAGAGAAATTGAGCCTGTGCGGTTAGACCAAGTTAATATGAGGCAAAAAGATCCTTCTGGCCTATTGCGCTCTGGCTATTTGCACCTGTGTAGCCCTTATCAGCCATGCTGAAAAGACAGATACTCAGAAGCATGTCTATTTGACAATGGACACTTAACTCAACATGCTGGACTAGAAATGGAGAGACCGTATTCTGTGAACCCTGCGGGATAAAAAATACATGGCTATGCTTAACTGAAGCAGAACTGATAGTTGGGCTAGTTGGTGATACATTATGGGCAGTACCAGCGCACAAACTCACGGGACGAAGAGAAGAGACACAAATAAGCGCTTTTTTGTGTCTTCTCTTCGTCCCGTGAGTTTGTGCGCTGGTACTGCCCATAACTCATGCTTAACTATTATGCCTTTGTACCATCATAAACTGAAGCATTTTCGTTTGCTTTCCAGTCATAAACACAGATCCCATAGGTATTTCTTCAAAAATTTGAATTTTGGCAAAGTTTATCGTGCCTATATTTACGATTTTGGGAGCCTAAAACTGTGTTTTGCCTGCCTGTTTTTGGTGCCTAAAACCCGGTTTTTTAGTTCCTATAAATCCGACCTATAGTGATAACAATGAACTTGCCTATGATGTCGCTCCTGGTGGCGCTCTCTGCTTCTGCTTCTCCGCGATCTCTGACGATCTCGATCCCAGCTAGAGTCTCTTGGTACTTCACGGTCACTGGGAGATTCACGTGTGTAGGGGCTCCTTGACCATAAGATGCAATAAAGTAAGTTCAGAATTTTCACACTCATGACAATCCAGATGCTTAGCCATTTATTCACGAAACACGGAAACATTCATTCAAACGACAGACAATATTGGATGTTTAAGTGCAAGTATACCCACTCCGATACACATTTTTTTTTGGTCTGAGAGCATGAAACAGTGTTACAAACAAATGCACCAACAAAACTGGCCCATTTCCTGACTGCTAGACCTGAAAGACATAAGGGTGGCTGTACATGGCAACATAGCATGCTGACATGAGAGAGAAGTAAATGCAAGCTGAAGATAACAGTACAAGGCAATGAAAACAAAAATAAAAGCAGCATAGTACTTCTGGCATTTCTTTCGTGTTCTACACAGCCCCCCCCCCCCCCCCGCGCCTCCCGGGGCCTCTACTTCAGAGCACTCTTTCCCAGATTCACTGTTTGGTCTTTCCAGGTCATCAATATGGGCATTGCTGAACAACAAATTGTGCTATGTCAAGCAAGAATGCACAAAACTCTTGAAAAGTGAAAAGTTTAGAATGGTAAAAACTTGGGCTTGTTGGCATGGATTCATTGTAAAGAACAGTGCGGTTATACGAGAGAAGAACGAAACGAGTTGAAAAGTGCTAACATAACCGAACATTACTGAAGCAAGTTTTTTGCTATTATAATTATTTAAAAGTGATTTGCCAATTCAATGTTCAATCCCCTCACAGTGCTTGGTAAAGTAACATGCAAAGGTTGAGGGCATAATAGTCAGCACAGCTAGAAGTACAAGGATTCAACACGCATAATAGAGACCCACTATTGCTATCAGAATCTTCCTACTCTCATATTGGAGCTTGAACATGGCATGACGTGACTAACGAAACTTTCCACACGCAAAGCGACCCATTCCCAGTGTGCATTTGGCACAATGTGATGGTAAGGGCCAAATGGTGGAGGCTGCTGCTTTGATCTGGATCATCTTGAACGTCCTTTTTTTCCCCCCAAGTTCACTGCTCTTTGGCAAAGAAGCGAATGCAAACACTATGAAATTATAAAAATGCTGAAATTATGCATAGTAACGTAGCTTCTACACCTACGAAAAACACATTTGTCACCTAGGACCTTAAAAACACAAAGTGAGAGAGAGAACTTGTTTTTGTTTATATCGGTAACACTCAAACATTTTTAACTTTGCCCAGACGGTTCGACCTACGAAACAATATTTACCCTCAGAGGGTAACTACACAAGCATGCAGCACAGTTTAACTAGAATCTATACCCACAAAATATTTTTAAGAACAATATTCAGCACGCCCTGCATACCTCCTACGCCTTGGTTCTGGTGACAGTGCTCTTTCATTTGCAGCAGCTGTTTCTGGTTCAGTGGCCGCTGGCTCCTCACTTGATGCATGTGCTGCTGGGGCCAATGTGGGTGGGCGCAAAGAAAGCCTCTGTTCAATCTCCTTCTGAATGGGCACTGGTATTCGAGGAAACAAGGTGGCAAACCACTCCAGCTTGGTGAGCATGTGGTGTAGCATGTCCCCAATGCGCAGAACCTGGCCACCACCTGCTTTCACATCTAGCTCCTGCAAGAGAATTCCCACTGCATGGTCAGCATCGAAAGTCTGGCTAGCAACAAACACATGAGCAAAAAGCAGGCAGCACCTTTGACAGAAAGGTTGTCGTATGCACGAGCCGTGAGGTGTGTGACTCTCGCCGAGTTACATGTGGCAACGTTTAACAGAACAGAATGTATGACACAGTGCAGTCAGCAGGAACTTTTTATTTTTTACACTTGTTTCTTATTAATAGAAAGATGAATAAGCTTTTGTCATATCTTGCACAATAAACAACTACCACCCATAATCCCTGCCCAAACCATGACAAAGTAAGAAGTCAAGAGCATAATTTTCAATAAAATGCAAGAACATGAAAACCCGCACTAAAAAGGTTGCAAGAATTACAGGAAACAAATAACATGTGAGAAGAGCCTGTTTGCCTGATTCTAGAATGTCATTATGATTTCAGGAAGCAAGGAACAGGAGAAACAGGAAAAAGCAGGAATGTACCTAGTTAACTAGTTTTTAATAACTGGTATGCTAAATTACACTAGAGAAAAGAATTTCGGGGTTAGAATCTTAGAACATAATCCTCAAAATACCTTATGGCTAAGGGTAACAGAGCTACTGCTATAATTTTTGAACACAACAGAGCTGTAGAGGCTAATAGTGACGTGTACTACACAAGAAGGACGTACTGGCAATATGTGTGGCCCCCTCTACCCTTTCTCTATCGTGACTTGAAGTGTTCGAAATCCATAAAAGGTTTCTATTAAGAACCCATAATTACACTTAAAGGGAAACTAAAGAGAAACAACGATTTGGTTTAAGTTGAGAAACAGCACTCTGCAACTCTAATGCCATATGTTTCACTATCATAAATACATTATTAGCAAAAAATCAAGATTGAAGTTTCACTTTTAAATTTCACACAAATTTCGGTATGTGACATCGAAAATGTGAAAATGTATTTTTCGTATTTTCAGGACATTGGCTTGATCAAATTTTCTGAAACTTTGTATGCTAGGTCTAAGGTACCCAGACGACAATGCACTTGCATCTTTATCATTTAGAAGCTACTTAGGACCCACTAGACACCTTCAAAATTTATGACGTCACAGTGTTTGGTGCGGGAATCTCAAGGTGGGGTTTCTACTCACTTTTATTTTCACGCGTTTTCACACTTACCAAGCATTGTGTCACAGTAGGAGTGGTGTTCTTGAGATTGTGAAATTGTACTTTACTAGTGTGCGAAAAATCGTTTTGCTTTTTAGTGTGCCTTTAATGGATGAAAATAAGCATGACTTTCTTCTGGTTGCAAAATTCAAGGCAAAGAATGTTGCTAAAGGGCTCCTGAACTATTTTTCCAAGTCATCATAAAATAAACTCCGTATTAGTTATTATTGCTAAAAAAACCAATTACTGCAAAAAATATCTTGAATCTGTCAAGATTTAAAGGAGTAACAGAGATTCGATGCATGCGTTAAGTACATTCTCTAGTTTCTATAGGTCCTATGGATGTGCTCTACTTGGCCCATTGAATGGAGAATGGTGCAAGAATATTCAGGTACTGAATATTCTTGCACCATTCTCCGACTGACCATACTGTGACTGACCATACTGTGGCTGCTCAGGTCCATGCGTGAGCAGCCACAGTATGGTCAGTCTACCGGGTGCACTCTGCTGTGAGCCATTATAAGGCATTGCACTTAACAGACTTAGCGTAGTGGTGCTGTGGTCATTGTGACCCTTTTTACAAGCTTGGAAATCTTTGTTTACGTTTTTCTGAAAATAACAATTTGCTCCAAATGTTGCGATGCAAACTTTCATAACGTATTTCCCAGCGTATACGTTGAACTGAAATTTTGCACAATGATTTACAACGTATATATCTGTGCAGTGAACTAAAGAAATCCATCGAATATTTTTCAGTTCACAGCTGAATTCTCCAACAGGTTCAGTCTAAATTGGCTCTTTTTTCCCGTTTTGTTTTGTTTTTTAGCATTACTTCCTTGATATTCACTGCATAATCATAGCTCCAGCCATTAGTTACACAAATGTCAAAGCTTTACTGAATAAAGCCACCCATTAGTCATTTATCACAGCTGGCATGGCTAGCACTTTTAATGCAATTTTTGACAAAGATTACCTCCCAATAAATAAATATTCAATATTTTGCACTGTAAATAACTGGGTAAATTAAATAAGACATGCTGGTTTTGAAGAAAAAATTATTTCAACTCTGCCGGCCCCTAAAAAAATTTTTGTTTTTGAGTGGCCTATCACATTAAGAGGCTTTTAAATACATTGAAAGAAAAAAAGGGCCAACCGAAAAATTGAACTTTGTTTGAATTAACCTAAAGTATGAATTACAAGAGTCTGAATTATCGCGAGTGTACTGTATATCATTTATGAGGGGACCCTGTAATACGACTTCAAAAAAGTAATGATTGCAAACATGAAACACTTGTCACATAATGATGTGTCGTTCATGTCTCAAAGCATCATCTCTTTTCAGCGCGTATACACTGTACTATTACTATGCATATTAATAATGCTCCTACTGCAAAACTCGGAAATGTTTCATCAATACAGAATCATGCTATCCATTAATGATGTGTTATAGTTTGGTTCATGTGAGATGATAAGAGGTGTCCTCATCACAAATGCTACCACAGTCAAAAGAAGTTGGAATTTCAGAAATGGTTAGAAAGAAAAAAACATTCATACAAATGCCATATTAGCGCATGATTATTTAAAAATATTACCATTAGGGTATGAGCTTGATATACACAAACTCCTGCATTGTTTTCTTTTTTTTCCTAAACTCCTTATTTCCTTAGCCAGAAATTTCATGCATTATGTTTGTACACTACTAGCAAGTTTTGGTTCAGTAAGTAAAGAAACAGCAAACTCCAATGCTTTTGATGGCAGCCAGAAATTTCATGCATTATGTTTGTACGCTGCTAGCAAGTTTTGGTTCAGTAAGTAAAGAAACAGCAAACTCCAATGCTTTTGAAGGCAGCCCTTTGCCCCACAGTCAAATGAAATACAGCTCAATGTGTTTACAATGACTATAAAAATGGCTAAAGGTACAGATATGAAACAGCGGTTTACGCTCCACGTAATGCAATGCGAAAAATCGAACTCACCAACTGCATGGAAGGTTCTAAGGGTGCTTTGCTCCTGCAAGTTACTATAGCACCACTGTTATTCCTCTACATTCCTGCAATTCTTTGTCAAAATAGCTTTCTGGATAGTTATAATCTGATTGTTGAATTAAACCATATCTATGATGCTTACTGCAGTTTGCATATAGATAACCAGACCCCTAACAATAAAACACTGCCCATTAGCAATTACATGTGTACTTTACCAACAATTTTAAGAGCTCACAAGAATATGACCAACATGCTTCCTTCACAATGAGCTCCCACTGAAAACTGAAAGATCAGTGCTACCATAACTAAAGTGAAAACCCTGTGTACCTTTGCAAATGAGGGAGCGTGAGACACTAATGTATGTCACCTATACAATGAAATCCCTAAGAAAGTGGCAACCCCCCAAGGAATTGCTATTTTATTTATTACTTTTTATTCTGCTGATGATTTGTGGGGTTTAACGTCCTAAAACCATGATATGATTATGAGAAACGTCATAGTGGAGGGCTCCGGAACTTTTTCTTCTGCTGTTAAACAAATCACAACATTCCCTTTCAGTTCTCATTCATACAAAAGTAATGCGTTCTTGAAGAACCTATGAGGGAACAAGCCCTAAAAAGGGGACAGGAGCTAGTTATGTTCTACAATCAGCTAGAGAGTCACTTCAAAAATGTAAGTTTGCACAAGTTCTACAATCAGCTAGAGAGTCACTTCAGAAATGTAAGTTTACACAAGCCTATCAACACAAGTATTGTTCATAGAACAAAAAATCCAGAGGCAAGATGAACAAAAAGACATAACAACAAACATTTTTAACAACCAGCATAGCACCAAGCCACACACCTCAATCTATTGAAAATGGGTGCTTCACCTCTCATTACTTACAAATTATTCCACATTTGCATAACGCAGATGTTATGGGAACTGCGACAACTATGCATCTAATGTACGTTAAAACTATACCCAGAAATGAAATAAGTGAAGCATCAGAGGCTCTATAACAGTGCAACTGCCTGGAAAGACAGTTCAGCTACCTTCATGAATCAATCTAAAATGTAGTAATTGCCAACTTCGTGGAAAAATTGCCAGGTAACAATCCTCGTGCATACGCATCCTTTCAGGTCACTATATCGAAACACAAGGCCCACAGGCCAGGCTAGCAGAATGCTCAAAAACCTGCAACAACAACACCACTGGCTACCAAAGGATACATAAAACCCTTTCTTATTCCATACACATGCATCCTCTACCTAATCAAGCAAAATCTTCTAAATTGCCTATCAATACTCTGTTTCGCTGCCTTTCATCATACCCCATTGCTAAAAAAAATACTGTACTGCTGTGTTGCCTCCCCACCAGGTACTTGCCCGATTTCGAGCGCAAGGCACGGGTGGGTGTGCGGGCGCAGCCAGCCCGGAACCACTGAAAAAAGAGGCAGAGGTACATAAAGAGCAGCAGCTACACTCGCCGCAAAGGGGGGATTGTTACTTTTACTGCAGGGCTGCCTTGCTTGGCTGGCGCAGCCACCACCATCCAGGTGGACTTGCCTCCGTTTCAGCTTGTTCAGGCAAGTGTGCTTGCACGGTGAGCCTAAAAGAGCCTACGCATGCAACATCGGCACTGCTGCTGCTGCTGCTGATTGAGCTGGGCAAACACCACCAGAGGGGCCATGCACAGTGCCTGTTTTGACTAGTGAGTGTTGCAAGCTGTGAAACCCTGAGACCGAAAGTTAAAATCAAAAAGTAAATGCAATTAAATACATTTGCAATTAAAAACAAAATCTCCATAAATGGCTATGTGTCGACTCTTCCACAAAACAATTCTAATATCCGAGCCAAGACTTGTGATGCAGCTGTCATATGTGCAAAATATTGTAGCACAAGAACGAAAAGCCAACTGGCATGTTGCAAGTAGCTTGGGTACTAGTTGCCTGTCATATTGCGACACATTTCCTACAAACTGCGACTAGAGATACCTTTTCTGGCATAAATCAAGCAACATGAGGTGGCTACTCAGAAGATAGGATTAGTACCCGGTTTTATCTTTCATAAAAGGAGTCACATGATAATGAATTGATCTAAATATTAGGCTTGATCCAATTTTCCCATTAATATACATGACATAAAACTATGTAATGCTTTTAAAGATCTTCCTCACAACTAAGTATTTCAGTGGTTTTTCTGAACGAGCACAAAAAGAAAAAGTTTCACCAGCAAACAAACGCAATTTCTCCCACAGCTAAAAACTTCGGCACAGCTTATGTCCCCACATTATCACCAACTTGCAGTCAGAAACTTTAACAGTAGAATCTAAATGATGTGGCTATGGTTGACATAAATTTAAGAATACAAAAATATTAATTGAACCAATTAAAACACAATGTGTTCTACATTCAAAATGTTTGTCACCATAAATGTTATATTGCACAATTCATGAGGTTATGATGCCAAGAGCCATGACCACTAGCATTAACATATGAAGGAAGCCCTTTATCATCTTTTGCTTGCTGCAAGGAGGAGCGTAACTCCCAAGTTGGCTGGCCCTCTTATTGGCTGTAAGGCTGCAATGTATGACTGTGCTCGGCTGCACTGTGTTGGTGTGAACTCTTGTCCATCCTCCCCATGGTCTTGTAGTGCTGTCTTTTTATTTTCACTGTGGCGGTCATGCAAGCAACTGTGGTGCCAACAGAATTTCATACAAAGATTACTGTGGATCATGCCTTTCGCCTCTAGAATTTTATTTGCTGATGATATCATGACCGAGTCTAGCGGAGGGGGGGGGTTGTTGTGTGAAGCAATGAAGTTCTGAAAGAGTGGCTGCATCTGCACCCATGAAAGAAGGAAAGAGACCACGCCCCTGTAAGTGTATGCGATGATGTCACACAGCAGCACGTGCAGTGCAGCCACACGATTTCCACCAGCTGCTTCGAACAAGGTGTACTCCAGTTAACATGGAACAAGCCCATGGTTACTGGTTTGCAAAGTTGTAGCGAGAAGTGATGCACCGTACTTTCTTGTTCACTTTGGGTTGCACAGATGGGCAGCCTAGTTTGAATCAACAGTGGCCTGCATTTCAAATTCGAATTAAGGAGAGTTTTACACCATTCATATACATGTCACATTGCTAGGACTAATATGCCAGTTTGAATTATCTGACAATTTGAATTATGTGAGTTTGAATTAACGAGGATGAGCTCAGCCATGACAGCAGGCATGTAAAATGCAGCAAGATCTCGAACTGAAGAAGTTTAAGACTGAACAAAAGTGTACGGCAAAGCCCTGTAAGAAATCCGTCTTTTTCCTTCCGAATGCTTTTGTTTACATATTTCTGCAGTACATTGAGCGTACGAAACATAAGTCAATGATTGTGCTGAGCCTTTCCAGATATGAGTAAATTTCTTTAAATCCATATCTGCTGCCTGAACACTTCAACTTTATTATGAAATTTTTGAATGAGTGTGCAAGATGTCCATCAATGAGACACTACTGCATGTTACAGAAAGCTGTGCGTTTTAAATAAGCCAAGAAACAGTGTACTGTTGCAGAAACAACAGAATGCCACTAGAAGTAATCAGTGCTGTACAACAAAAAACAGTGAGAATGCAAATTATTTGTTTAAGTGGCGTGCACATAATAATAGTAATGACTTTTTCTTTGCAAGTGCAAGCTAGTATTATAGAACGTGTGATGTTTTTCAGAAATACATTTTTTTTCTGAATTTTATAACGTTTTTCAATCATAATGACGTTACCAATGCCACACAGTCTCAGCAAATAACTCGAGATCAATAATAGTACCAGCAGCAGCAACAGCAGAAAAAAAGAAGAGAAAAGGGAGGAAAGGGGAGCAGTTGACTTTTGTTCAATATATGTACTACATTACAAAAATCCATTAGAGTAAAGACCACCTGGGGGAGCAGGCTTTAAGCAATAAGCATTCTTTCATGCCAAAGAATGCAATTAAACTTTACCTTTGAGGTGTGGTGAACTGCAAAAAAATCTGTATGCAGAAATGAGTATTTAATGAGAAATCTGACTTTTTTATATCTTGGTGAAACACACAATGCATTTTGTATCTCTGATTGTAGCATACTTCCCCAGGGAGTAGCAAGGGTGTTTTGTTGAGGCAGCAGTAAGGTTTGCGACAGATGTCACACAATAAGTTCTAGTGAATTTGTTAGGAGCCAGCAAAACCAAGAAAGGCCATATTTACAATGCATGTACATACCTCTTCATCATCGAGGTATGGTTCATACCAATCAATAAGGTCTGCCGGTGGCTGTGTGAACCTGAAATAAAGGCAGTTTTAAGTACACAACAAGATTTCTCTAATAACAGGGGTGAGACAGCTAAAACTAAATTGGGAGCAGCTTTTGAAGCAGCAAAATTTCAATTTTGAAGCAGAACTTTGCTTCGGACCAGTTGGAGACATTTAATATGTCGTCTTGGGAGCTTGAAAATAAAAATTTTTAGCAACGTGGGGGCACCAGTGCATATTTTAATTGGCTTATAATATACATAACACTGAAACAGATTTTGAGGGAAGTTTTTAATGAGATTATCGCTAGGTATGAACTGCACTACCTTTTTGCATACGCGACCTACCTAGCCCTCGTAACATGTGAAATAATATTTAAAGGTTTTGTTTAAAACTAGGTTCCCTGTAAACATTTTAAAATATGCATCACACTCAAAAAGAAGTTCGAAAATTGTGATTGCACAAGAATCTTGCTTACGTAACAGTGTTCGTTCACTTAAAGAAAAGCCTCACATGTCACATGATAGCGCCAAGAGCTTTTAACAGGCAACAAAAGCACGCTGCACTGCCGTTCACAGCCACCTCGTGTGGGACCGACCCCCTTCAAAAGTGCAGCGTGAGAGCCAAGAAACCTCACTGCACTGACTATCTCGTAAAGCGTGTGCGTTTGGCACTAAGTTATAAGTGTGGCACTGAGTGATAGCAGTGATGGCGTAGTGGTTAGAACATCAGCCTCGCATGCAAGAGGTCCTTGGTTCGAATCCCAGTGCAGCATAGTTCCCAACCGGATTAAAAAAAAGTTCGCGTGGTGATGTAACTGCATTAAGAGGCCTGGGGTGTAGCCTCACCGGTGACCACCGCTGGTAACGCACTTCCTCACCAGAGAAGGATTGGCCACCCTGGCACAGTATCTGGCCACTACCTCCCACATGCATATGTAAATTAACTCATGGGCCTCAATCCCCAACGGCTGCGAAGGAACTGACCATGGCGGCCATCAGATCTGCAACGCTGCAGAGTGTGCTAAGAATCTCTAGATCCAGACAGGCCGCCATTGGAACCTGAAATTCGCAACGTTTAACGCTAGAACCTTATCTAGTGAGGCAAGTCTAGCTGTCCTATTCGAGGAGCTAGAGGGCATTAAATGGGATGTAATAGGGCTCAGTGAGGTTAGGAGGACAGATGAGGCCTATACAGAGCTACAGAACGGGCACGTCCTTTGCTACCAGGCTTTGGCTGACAGAAGAGAACTGGGAGTGGGGCTCTTTATCCACAGAAACATAGCTGGCAACATAGAGGAATACTATAGCATTATTGAAAGGGTGGTAGGTATCGTAATTAAACTCAATAAGAGATACAAGATGAAGGTATTACAGGTTTATGCGCCTATTTTCAGCCATGATGACGTATCAGTTAAAAGCTTCTATGACGACGCGGAATCGGTAATGAGTAAGGTAAAAACACAGTATACTATACTGATGGGAGACTTCAATGCAAAAGTAGGGAAGAAACAGGCTGGAGACCAGACAGTAGGAGATTACCGTATTTACTCGATTCTACCGCGCCCTCGATTGTAACGCGCACCCAATTTCCACGACTAAAAAAAAAAAACAAAAAACGCAAGACATCGATTGCAACGCGCACCCATTGTTCTCGCTGGCCTGCGCTATCACATCACTTGAAAAAACGACTCCTTTCAAGAGCGTCTTCCATATAAATATGAGGTACAACGAAGCTTCTGCCCATCTGACGTGTAACAGAGCATTGCCGTCACTGTAGTTTTACCGTGATATGTCAGCACGCAAACTTGCTTCGCCCCCTTCTTCTCGACAGTTGTGGTGCCAGGCATGTCGAAGTAAACAGGCGTCTGATCGACATTCCCGATTTGCCCAAGCAGGTAGCCGTTGTTGTGCCGCAACTTTAGGACGAACCTCCGAAAACTGTGAAGCTTTTCATCGTACTCCTCCACAAAACTTTTCGCATATGCCCCTTCCCCTTCTGAGGGAAAAGCCTTTCCTCTTCATAAAGTTAGTTAGCCAGCACCTGCTCGCTTTAAACTGGCTCCGCATTAGACCTTTTTCTAAGGCTAATTGCATAGCCCGCACTTGGAGCAGTTCTGTTGTCATGGGCCGCCGTGCCGCTCGCTGCTCAAGCACATACTCGCAGAGCAGCTCTTTAATTTGCGGAAACAGACCTTGCTGTGGTCCACTGAAGCCTTTGCGTGAAGCTTTGCTGTCGACAATCTTCTGCTTTTGTTTCCGCCAGTCCCGCACGCACGTTTCGGAAACTCCAAACGACCGCGATACAGCCCAATTTACGTCCGTTTCGGCACACGCGATGACTTTTCTTTTAAAAGCGGCACCGTGGTGCACTCGTCGAGTTTTTGGAGTCGGCCCTTCCATGCCGTCGATGCTAATTCACACCAAGATGACGAACTCCTCAGCGCACGTACGAAGTGCCGCACATGGGAAACACATAGGCAGAAATGGCCGACGCGCCATGCCGACGCACGTAGGGGCGGCCATTACGGAATGCCGATGGCAATAGCACGACCGTACTCATTTTTTTTTTTTTCGTACTCGATTCTAACGCGCATGCGATTTATGAACTCGCTCAACCGGAAAAAAAGGTGCGCGTTAGATTCGAGTTATTACGGTATAGCACCGGTACTAGAAATGACAGAAGGGAGCTACTAGTAGATTTGCAGAATGCAATAATTTATGGATTTTGAATACCTTTTACCAACAGCGAGGGTACATAGCCTTCATAGATTACAAGAAGGCGTTTGACTCGGTAGAAATATTAGCAGTCATGCAGGCACTGTGGAATCAGGGCGTTGACGAAGCATATATAAATAGCCTGGAAGAAATCTACAGGGGATCAACTGCTATCACAGTGCTTAATAAAGAAACCAACAGAACACCAATCAAGAAGGGTGCAAAGGCAGTGGGATACAATTTCCCCAATGCTATTTACCGCGTGTTTACAGGAGGTTTTCTGAGGCCTAGAATGGGAACAGTTAGGCATAAGAGTTAATAGAGAGTACCTCTTAGTAACCTGCACTTTGCTGCTGGCATTGCTGAGTAACTCAGCGGACTAATCACAACTCATGATTACGGAGTTAGCCAAGAAGAGCAGAAAAGTAGGTCTTGAAGTTAATCTGCAGAAACGAAAGTAATGTACAACAACCTCGGAAGAGAACAGCGCTTCGAGATAGGCAATAGTGCATTTGAGTAAAGAACTACGTCTATTTAGGACAGATAATAACCGCAGAGCCGATCCACGAGACTGAAGTAACTAGAAGAATAAGAATGGGGTGGAGCACACTTGGCAACCACTCTCAAGTCATGACAGGTAGATTGGCACTATCCCTCAAGAGGAAGATATATTGTGAGGAACCGGTTTATTCAGCCAGGCTCGAGCTAAATCACGCTGGTGATGATATTTTCAGATAAAGAAGATGTACAGGTGATGATGATATCAAAGAGAATAAACAGTCATTCGCTTGTCGCGCTCACACTAATTTCCCCGCGCGGTGAAAGCGGCCGCCTGGTCGCTTGACAGTATTATGACATGCGTCGCGCATAAGGCTTTAAACGAGATACGTGTACTATCTCTGTTCCTCGGCAACGATGATCAGGACTAGCGCTAAGAGGAGAAACGCGGTAATTGACAGGAGATGTCTGTTCGACCACCGTGTACGGCCCAATGAAGCGACTGATGAATTTGTCGCATAGGCCGGGGACGCGTAGTGGAGTCCATAGAAGAACTTCGTTACCAGGGGAAAAACTCACAACACGGCGAGACGAGTCGCAGCGAGATTTTCGAGTGTCTTGAGAAAGGCCGATGTTAACACGGGCCTGGTGACGGCAGTGTGCGAGACGAGATAGGAATTCTTCAGAGAAAGGAGCCGTCGAGGGTGCAGGGGCCGAAAGGAAAGAGACATTCAGAGCGAAACTCGGCGAGCGATCATGGACGAGAAAAAATGGAGAAAAGCCGGTAGTGCGTTGAGCAGTCGTATTATAGGCGAATGTCACGAAGGGTAGAATTGCATCCCAGTTCGTGTAGTTGGGGTGAATGTACATGACGATCATGTCCGATAGGGTCCGATGAAACCGTTCAGTCAATCCGTTGGTCTGCGGGTGGTAGCTAGAAGTGGTCTTGTGAACAGTGTTCGAGGCACGCAAAACTTGCTCGACAATGGAAGATAGGAAGACTTTGCCACGATCACTGAGGAGAATGCGTGGAGCTCCATGACGCAAAAAGATGTGGCGAAGAAAGAAGTCGGCGATCTCAGTGGCAGTCCTAGATGGTATAGAAGCTGTTTCTGCGTAGCGGGTAAGGTGGCCGACGGCCGTGACAATCCAGCGATTCCCATTGGATGATATAGGAAGAGGGCCATACAAGTCGATTCCAACGACTTCAAAAGGCGAGGCGGGACAAGGAAGAGGTTGCATTAAGCCAGCCGAAGCAGTTGTCGGTCGTTTTCGCCGTTGGCAATGGACACAGGAGGCGACGTACTTACCCCCGAATGCAGAGATGTTACTTGGCTCGCGACTTCAACTTAACTTGAGCAAGTCGACGCGAAGCAAGCAGCGGACTTCAAAACGCCCAAGTCAGCCTTCGCGTTTCATAGATGCTCAGGCTGTCTTGCTTGGTCAAGTCAAGAACGAGCTTTAAAGCAGAAACACGCTGCTCGCCTGCTAACGAGGGTAATAATGAAGTTGTTCGCGTAAGGCATGTGTTACAGCAAAAAAAGGACCATACGTTTTAAAATAACCATAAAAACGAAGGGCCACAAGCATATTCTTGCCATTTCACGGCTAACGAGCGGCACGTGGTGCCTGCCACCACAGCGATGCGCAGTGTTGCTTCTGTAAAGCGTTCGTTGCCCGCTGGTTTTAGTGGCCACCCAAATGCGGTGCGTTTCTCCACGGTTGCTTGTTTGGAGGAGAAACAAGCATCGCGTTGGGTTCTTTCGTCGTCTTTTTTTTTTTTCTCAATCGAACGCCATGGCATGTATTTGTGCTG